TAACTCGCATTTTATTGCATCTAAGATTATCGAGAGAGAGAGAGAGAGAGAGAGAGAGAGAGAGATGGGGTTTAACGCGCACTCGACACAAACTAGGTCATTTCGCGACTAACATATGGTTTTCTTTTATTTTAATAATTCGCTTGCGCGCATAGGGATCTTTAGCAATAGGAGGAAATCGGAGGACCCGGAGAAAACCCATGAAGTTGGACAGGCGACCCTGCATCCTTGTCACGTATAACCCCGGGATTCGAAACCACGCCAGTTGACTCAACCACAGGCCTTATGATACAGCGCGCACGTGGTAACCATTCGGCCATCCAACCCCCTCCCCCCTAAGATTATTGTGGAAAAAGTAAACAATGACGCCAGTAATGGTTATATGTAAACCAGGGCAGATAATTTGAAATCGTGAAGATCCCGTGGATGGACTCAAGAGGTTAATGTAGTAGAACGGAACGATGCCACTGGGGATACAGAGATTGCAACGGTGGTAGAATGACTTTGTCACGGTTATTGGCTATACAGTATGTCACGTTATATTTTTACGTCAGAAAATACTATATTAAATTTAAATCATATATCAACTAACCTGATATAAAGTGATCCGAGCAAACTCTAAGCTGGCCACAAGTCTTGAAGTTAATATCTACACGGTTGATAGCCGCAAGCCATAACCTTCGGCGTTTCTCACTTTTACTTTGTGTTTCTTCTCCTTGGTGTTTTAATACACAGGGGATTCGAAAAAAGCTTTTGGTATCTCTTCCGGACCTACTATTGCAATTGATAACAGCACAGGTAGTTGGCATTGTTTGGTTTGATCGACTGTTACGCTCTCCTTACAAATACAATACTCCACGAAGGCTTCCCTTTGTTTACATTTACCGCCTTCCACTATGATCACTCGCTATGAATTGTGGGGAATTCTTAGTCGCGGAACTCTTACGTGTGACGTATTACCGGTGTCTATTTTTAGCTCCGGAACACTGACCTTATTCTTCACGTGCCTTCATGGTAAATGCCTGAGAAAACGAAGATTTTAGTCTTTTTCTCTTTATAGAAAACGTATTCTTGAATGCCACTCTTGTAAGTTGCATGTAGCATTCCTATTAAAGGGGCTAAATCGCTAACATTTGGGACCTAGAAATTGACACAAGTGGGTCGGAACTCATATAATACTGTATTATGAATGTATATAAACTGATATACATTCAATGGTTTCCGTTTTTACTCTAATTTCAAATCATTTATGTTCCGCGAAATAAGCCAGCAGTCTCAATCGAATGCAAATTTCTAGCGACTGGTTATTCCAGTCTACATACGCCGTTTGGTTTGGTGCAATATGTCTAGCCTCCTTCCTCGAGTCTCTTGCTAGAACTGGGGCTGAAACGCATTATGGTACACGATGTAAATTTCGTTAAGGTCACGAGATGTAAGCAGGGTTAGGGAACGTAATTTTTGCCCATGATGTGGGTTAGGGTAAGGGCTAGGTTTTGGGTTAGGGTTGGCGCTTGCCCTGTTTACATCTCGCGACCATGACGAAATCTGCAGGTGGCCTAATATTTTAATCTAACCTGGGTATTGCATGCTTTTAAGGGGAGCGGTGAATTTGTCGGACAGCTTTACGGAATTTGAATCAAATAAAACATTTAACTTCTACAGGGTTCACAAGCTAAAATGTTATTGTTCGTAAAATCAGGGTCAATAATGCAGGAATTGAAGGTCCTATTTACGACAATATAGAAAGGAACCGAGATCTTTCGGATATAAACATACCTTGTAAGTTATTAAGTACCTTCTTAAACTTTGGTACCGGAAATTAACCGAACGAAATATATTTTCGTAGTCATATTTACCCAGACTGGTATGTATTAAATACAATGTTGTTGGTATATTTATTCTTTGAGAGAGACGGCCTGGGCCGCGAGTGTCATTTACAAAAAAATAACCTGCAGCCAAATGGCGACCACAAATGATTTGCTGTTCACCATTTGATAGGACAACAAGTTCTTTGATTAAAGGATAATATTGGTGCCATCCATTATCACATACGTGATAGAGCTGGTTAAACACATGATTCCAAATATAATTTTGACACAGAGATCATTGCTACGATAGTCTCACACAACAACTTTTGGTCTTGGAAGGAATTATTAGTGAGCAGAAATTCGCCCATGTATCTTTTATCACTCGTCACTTCAATCAGTTATATAGAGGGATGACTCGTGTTTTCCTTTGGCGTTCGTCACTTCCGATTCAGGAAACCGCTTGTTTCAGATTATTGCAGGTTTTTTATTATTATTGGTGTGCGGATGCTATACGATGCCGACGATAATTTAATCATCATCATGGCCGAGACCGGTAAGATGCAATTTAAAAGACAATTTACATTCAATAACAGACGCCATAAATAATTTAAACAAAAAATTTACATAGTCGATCAATTTGAAATCGGTACGTTTTTGCTTACAGTGATTTGTGTGTGTGTGTGTGTGTGTGTGTGTGTGCGTGTGTGTGTGTGTGTGTGTGTGTGCGTACATTTATTTGGGGAGAGGTGGCACAGTAAGTTCTTTTATGTTTTCTTAAGAGTGTAAGACGTTAGCTAGTTAACCTGGAGGTCCCGTATTCGATACCGGTTTTGACCGGGATTTTCCGGCCTGTTTCCACCTTGTCAGTGATGCAGGAGAAAGGCCAGGCAAGGGACATATAGTCGTTCGGATGGGACGAAAAATCGAGGTCCCGCGTACACATGGCCGTGTACGTAAAAGAACCCTTGCCTGTTGGAATGCGACATAAGAGTTGGTCGTATTGCCGCTTTATGCGAAATATTTCTTCATAGTACACTGGGAGCTACGATGGCAAAGTGGATAAGGCGCTTACTCGCTAGTCGCGTGTTCGATCACTACAATCGCCGAGAAAGTTCATCGAGATTTTCCATCATGGCTTCCCCTTGTCATGGGTACAGGAGGGATTGTGGGTCTGACAAGTACAGCTGTTTAGTCGTTTGGATTGGACGGAAACAGAGGTCCTGTGTATACATTGGTGTGCACAAAAAAAAGGTCCCTTGGCAGTTGTAACTCGATATAAGAGTAGGCCATAGAGCCGCTGTTCAGGCAATATTCCGTTATAGCTCGCTGCATGGTGTATGCCCTCTTTATTATCCCAGTTGGAGCAAAAAGGTAGGACGTTACACCCCATTTCATTTCATTTTCATCTACCGCTATGACGTTGGCAGAAAAAATGATGTCCGAGATATTTAACTTTTTTACATGCAAGTCTGCACTTTGACGGTTTTAAGGTAATATCGCCTTTTTCAAGCTTCTTAAGAATGTTAGATAAGTGTCCTAAGTGCTGCTCAAAACACGATAATGTCACGAAGGACAACATGTCACGAATGATATCAGTCATAACCACTTGAAAACTCATTTGCGTGTTGGCTAATCAAAATGGCATGAGGGTTGCTTTATGTTTGGAACGTTCATCCATGCCAATTTGCCCAAACCCACTTGCACAATCTAGCACCGAAAACATTTTAGCCTTTGCTCTACCAATAGTATCAATAACATCCTCAAATCGAATGAGAGAGAAAAAATTGACTTGGTTACACTGTTCAGTTTCCTATAATCTACAGCGAATCGGTACTCACTTCTCGCCCTTTTTACCATAACAACTGGTGACCTCGAAGTAGAATTTGACTTTCTAATGATATCAGCTTCTAACATTCTGCTGAGTTGGTTGGAACATTGATCGCGCATTTTTTTGCATTTTTAGTGTTTGGGGGGGGGGGGGGCGAATGGTTAGCACGTGCGCGCTGTATCATACGGTCTGTCATTGAGTCAACTGGCGTGGTTTCGATTCCCCGGTTGTACGTGACAAGGAGTAGGGTGGTCTATCCAATCTCGTGTGTTTTCTCCGGGTCCTCCGGTTTCCTTCCACTGCTAAAGACCCCTACGCGCAAGCGAATTATTGAAATAAAATTGAACCATATGTTAGTCCCGAAATGACCTGGTTTCTGTCGCGAATTGACGTTAAGTCCCATCTCTCTCTCTCTCTCTCTCTCTCTTTGGAGATTGACGATAAAACGGCATCCTTACTGGTTTTACATCTACAGTTGTTTCGATATATGATATGATGCTTGTAAACATTGGTTTTATCTAATTTGTTATGGTTCGCTGAGAAGACATGTCTGTTATCCCGTAAAACGTCTACTAAGCGCTGCTTTTCCTGATCATTAAGCGCTACATCGGACAGATCAAATTCCTCAGGAATGGAAGACTGTGCTTGTGAGTTATTTTCTGTTGCGCATAGGTCATCTGGCACGCTTAAATGCTCTGAATGAATATCTCCTTCATCGACCTGCATAGCTCTAGCAATGATTTTATTTTTGGAGAATCAGTAGGTTGTTGATACTAACTAACTACGCATTTACTTCCAGGAATGTTACTTTCGCGCAGGTTTTTTGGGATTGGTTTCTAAAGGGCTAAAGCTTTATCCGTAGCTTTTGATAGACAGGTATTTCAATTTCTCTACGCGGGCCAATTGTGATTGAGTTAACAGTGCACACAAACCCAAAGAAACATTTATCTCTTATGTCCATGGATGATGTGCCTTTCTTAAAAATCGGAACATAGAATCTGTTTTTAATCTCAACTGCCTTGTTCTCGAAATGTGATTTAAGTTTGTAGTTTGTCATGAAGTCAATGCCCAATATTAAAGGATGATGCACGTGTTGGGCGCACAGGAAATACGCCTTTCTCGAGTTGTTTTATCATCTGCCCAAAACATCTTTGGCATGCGCTTTCGTGTGTCCATATTTGTTATAAATATTAAATGAATTGAAATGGGTTTTTTTTTACATCATATTGTTTTGCCCCGAATCTTATACTGAATTCTAACTGCCATAAAAACCTTTGATATGCGGTTTCGAGTGTCCTATTTGTTTTAAAGGTATTTTAGAAGTACCTTGAAAGTCATATATACATGTACCATATAGGGTCATTTATTTAAAGACATCGATATACTAAGTTAAAGGATATGCAATGGCTAACATAATTACTATATACTCAAAATCTGAAATTAGCGTTTAAAGGAATAATCCAGTCGATTTATTAATTATCTGGTATAAAAATCGTGAAATCGATTCCATCTTTAATTAACATACGACATGTGGCGTCACTGCAGGAACTGCCAATCACTGTGTAATATAAGCAAACTAGCAAAAGGTCCTATCTCTATATTTTCTTCTATGGTCGTCCTGCGCCTTGTGTTAATTATTGTTGGTTTTGCTTTGTTCGCTGGTCATTTCATTTTCACAGTGCATACTGAATTGTGCTGCTGAAACAGAAGAAATCAACATGATAAATAACGCTATGATAATTTTAGTGGTCAAACGCAATTCCATTCCTTAGAGCACATGGCTCATTTATGAAATGAAATGTGATTTTATGTCCTACTGTTCTGCTCCGATTGGCTAATGAAGACGGGCATACGCCATACAGTGTGCTATGGGAGAAATTTGCTCGGGCAACGGCAATATGGCCTACTCTTATATCGAATTCCAACTGCCAAGGGATCTTTTACGAGACCTCGGATTTCCGTACCATCCGAATGACAAGACAGTTGTCCTTGTCAGGCCATCCCGATGGACTTTCACGGCTAATACAGGGATCGAATACGTGAGCAACGTGACCCCAAGCTAGCGAGGCAGCGTCTTATTCACTTAGCCATTTATGAAATGGGGCTTAACGTCCTACCTTTCTGGGTAGCCGCGGTGGCACAGTGTTCAAGAGTTTGGCTCGCTAGCCTGGCTCCTCGGGTTCCCCCCCCCCCCCCGGCGTGGTTCCATTTGTTAGTGATGCAGAGCGGAGGGCCTGACAAGGACAGCTGTCTAGTGGCTACGCTCGAGATCCAGTGTAGACATTGACGCGAACGTAAAAGAACCCTTACCTGTCGAAATTCGATATAAGAGTAGACTGTAGCATCGCTGCCGGGTAAAATTTCCTTCACAGCACACTGTATGGTGTATGCCCGTCTTCATTAGCTCAGTCGGAGCAGAACAGTTGGACGCTAAACCCCATTTCATTTCATTTTCTAGTTTTTTTGCACTGACTGGTTTAATCCCAGCATGATCACTTTTTCTTTATAGAAAAGATGTCTTTTAATCTTTGACCGGTAGGGCGTATACATGAATTGCATGCGCTTAATATATACACGCAGATTGTTATGCAAGCGAAAAAACAAAATGTATACAAGTACCACTTCGTTTTTGTCTGTTTTGAATAATAAATGGCCGTTCGTTTATGATCCAGTGTGATGTTGCGTTTCCACAATGGTTAGCAATCTCGTCACCAGCAAATTTTCGGAGAACTTTTGCATTTATAGGTTCCACCGTGTAGTCAAATAATATTTTTTTGGGAACCCTTTCTGTGCCCTGAAAGTAACAGTATTACAATAGACATTGATAAATCTTGATATAAGGAAGAATAATTATATAACACTTCATGTATATTAATAATTCAACAAGTGTTCTCTATCAAAACATAGCCTCGCTTCTCCATGTGTAAATTAATTCATTAAATGGCCGAACCATTCTATTCTAAATTTCTAAGACATAAAGAAAGACCTGCAATAGGCATGTTCTTGAATAATTCGTCTTTAGCTGTTGTCATGTCGCCGGGTTTCAAAATAGACAAAAAGCTAGTCAGGAATATGCAAGTTCTCTTGTCGATAAATCCAGGTCCATTTCTTTTTAAATCAATTCTTCAAATAATTTCATATAATATACGTGTGACGAGCTTTGTATACTAGGTTGACATCGCCCTTCCTTGCTCCCGCTGCTAAAGAATTATTGAAATAATATTGCACCATATCCTAGTTCCGAAATGACCTAGTTTGTTTCAGGTGGACCCTTGACAGTTGGAAATCGATATAACAGTAGGTCGTAGTGCCGCTACCCGGTCTTTATTTTCCTTATAGCACATTGTATGGTGTACGACCGCCTTCATTACCTCAGTCGGAGCAGTAAAGTAGGACGTTAAACCTGATAACATTTAAATTTGACGTCGACTGTGACGATCACTTACTTCATGACTTGACCAGAAATGTAGACCTCCATTAAACGTCTCATTTATTCGATCAATGAAACACATGTTCTTAGTTAAGTCGTGTAAAGCCATTAGTTTCTGAAATAAACCAAAATATTATTTTAATCTGGTCGAACAATCGTGTACCCTAACCCTATTTACATCTCACTACCTTGACGAAATCTGCAGTTGGCCTTAATATTTAGACCTAGCCCTCTCCTCCTTCATCGCAAGATCCCAATCAATCAATGTTCCGGGGGGGGGGAGGTTACTCTTTGTTGTCAACAGAGGCTGCAGACAACAATTAAATTTGTAGTTTGTCTAAATATAGCAATTCTCCTGTCTCCCCTTTTGCAAGGCTGTTTGTGAGTATATTTTATTGGTCCAGAATCGATAAAGAGGGTTTGAATTAACAATTCCTGCCAGATTTTCGTAAATATTCATGGATGAGAGGCGGAAAGATGACATAATTAAGTTACTGGTTACGGCGGATAGTTACAAGTTTTTAGTATGCAACTTCAAATTCAAGTATTTATTCAAACCCATACAAAGTTTAGAGCACGATATGGCCAGACGTTGGTCTGTCTGAGGTAAAAGTTTTCTGCGCAACAAAACTTTGGAGCCTGGTAAAGAGACAAAATTAACATTGAAGTCCTTGGGAAATTTAAGAAGGAGAACAAAATAACCATTGAAGTCGATGGGGGATACCAACGGTTGTCCGACTCCAACAAGTGGAGCAGAATTAACATTAAAGTCAACGGGGAATTAATGGTGGTCTAACTCCAACAAGGGCAACCGAATTCACATTAAAGGACACGGAAGTGACACAAGGAATGGAAAACAAGAGTTATCATTCTATATAACTTACTGAAGTAATGAGCGATAACAGATACACGGTCGAATTTCTGTTCACTGATAATTCCTTCGAAGACGAAGAGTTGTTATATGAGACTGTGAGGGGATATCTGACGATTCAGAAAAGAATTGACTGTCACTAGATAAGAGAAAATGAAATAAATAGAAAACGTCCATGCATTACAATGTTTTTATTATGTATAGAATGAAGAAGAAAAATATGGCAATGTTCGATTTCTCTTATCTAGTGATATTTAATTATTCTTTTTCGAAATGTCAGATATCCTCTCACTGTCTCATATAACAACTTTTCGTCTTCGAAGGAATTATCAGTGAACAGAAATTCGACCGTGTATCTGTTATAGCTCTTACTTCAAACAGTTATATAGACTCTTGTTTTCCTTTTTTTGCGCCACTTCCGTTTCTTCAAATCTTCGTTACGCATCTATCGTAGCAATGCTCTCTGTGTTAAAATTATATGTGGAATGTGTTTAACCAGTTCTATCACATATGTGATAATGGCTGACACCAACATTATCCTTTAAAGTCAATGGGATGCGGGGGGGGGGGGGGATTAATGGTGATCTGACTTACAATGATGGTTAAAGTGGTTACCTACCCTGCCATAGTTATGGAGAGCGTCCAAAGCGTCAGTATTACCATGCTGTTCATGTCTGACGTATATAAACTCATTTTTATAATCCACTTGAATATGTTCTGGTAAAGCCTCGCCATTTATTATGGCTTTAGTTTCGTATTTCTGGGAAATAGATCACAACGTTAACAATCCTTGAATTAAATATTATGACATTCGTGTAATTTAACAGCGTCACTGAGTGGTCCCACCAATGCCCTCTATCGGGTGCATCATTTCATTACAAACCAACAAAATCAGATAACAAAGTTTATTAATGTTTGTGATAAAAAGACTTCTACCTGCGGCTTTCGAGAGTCATTTGTAAGACTGGATAATAGCTGAAGCGCCTTCCCTGACACGAAGAAGGGCGAAAATATCCTAAATATAAAACGGAAAGAAAATGCCGAAATACGGCATGATTCTCGAGCAGAATGACAGCCACGAGATAACAGCAAAAAAAGGGGATTGCATATCAAGGATAGATTGCAGTAAATGCAATGTACACCCACAGATTTCAATCAGATTAAACTAGGGTAATAAAATATGAACATGTTATCTAACTTATTAATTAAACATTAATTAGCTAATCAAGGCCACAATCAACTCTCGGTGCCATCGTTAGCCTCGTGGATAATCGAGACATTGTTTATTATCGTACAAACGATAGTCATAGCGTTCGAGGCTAACCTAAAATTGAGGCGCTCATATCTCGGTTCAGAGTGAAGCAATATGACTAAAATTTTCAGCATAATATTCTGTATTCATTATCTATTTTTCAACTATTGTAGCGTGAACTGTCAGTTCTTTATCTAATCTTCCACAGTGCCCCTTTAAATATACGCCATTACCTCTTTGTTAAAAAGATGATAGTTATAGGCTATAGCGCCAAAAGTTGTACCAGAGATTATCAAAAGAGCGACGATGACACTGGTTGCTATGATACACACACGGCGTGTAGATCGTTCACCAGCCGCCCTCTCCACTCCCTACGTAAACAAAAGATATAATTTATGCTCAATAGAAAACAAAGAATACTAGTATAAAGCGACACTCATTCACAATATGTTTTGTAAACTAGATGGAGTAATTCAAGGTGACTTATTCACCACCGGCAAAACGCAAGAGAAATTATGTAACTAGTAGGGTTTCCATGTTGCAGCCACGTTTTTCACACATCAATCTCAGAAATATGATGCACACATGAGCATAAGCACCAATCCACATGACGGACCGGATATCCCTACTCATCCTATCTTAAAGGAGCTAAATCGCTAACATTTGGGACCTAGAAATTGACAATGTATGAATGTATATAAACTGATTTACATTCAATGGTTTCCGTTTTTACTCCAATTTCAAATCAGTTATGTTCGGCGAAATAAGCCAGCAGTCTCAGGCGAGTGCAAATTTCTAGCGTCTGGTTATTTATGTCTACATACGCCGTTTGATTTGGTGCAATGTGTCTAGCCTCGTCCGTCGAGTCTCTCGATACAACTCGGGCTGAAGCGCATTAGGGTACACGATTCGTGTACCAAATGGTAAAATGTATATTTTGTCTTAAATATTGGATATCAAAAGCCAATCTTTTTCCGGTAAAATCACAACATGAATGTTGATTTAATTTGACAAATAAATCGTGTTTACAATGTTGAAGATTTTGGATGATATTGAGTTAGAGACTTAGCTACTTTAAATCGAGGAATCCACGAATACTTACATCCGTGGGCGCAATGCGGGTCCGTGATGTGTATTGGTGCTCATGTGTCCGTCAAAATGTAAGGAATTGTTCTTAACAGATGTTAATGCATCTGCGATTGTATGGACATAAAGTCATGCTAGTTATGTTTTGGCGATCAACTCCGCAAATAATTATTGGTGCTCATGTGTCCGTCAAAATGCAAGGAATTGTTCTTAACAGATGTTAATGCATCTGCGATCGTATGGACATAAAGACACGCTAGTTATGTTTTGGCGATCAACTCCGCAAATACTTAAGACATCTCGGGATTGCATGGATAAGGCGGTACATGGCTATTTTGCGTTTGCAACCTAATGTAGGCAAATAGTTCACATTTAAAAAATAAAACATTTATATTTTTAAATAGCTCATCTCTTGAAATAAAATGTGCTAAAATAAAACTATATTCATAAAGAAATAAAGATAGTATGCAGGTTCCATTGGGTTATAAACACCCAACTGACCTAAGATGTGAACGGACGACAAACGCACGTTTGCAACCAAAATCTGCATGGATGATTGTAAATATACCACCTTGTATAAATTAATAAAACAGAAATACGTTAAGACTGTATCGGCACATCATTAGAACACTAGAAGGTGAGCAAGGTGGTGCGGAACAAGGAGGTCAGTGGTGAAGTAAAGTGGCCCAGCGAGAAAGGCGGTGCGGAACGGTGACTCCCGAACAAGGTGGTCAGCAGGGTGGTGGCTCGCTAACCAGGTCAGTAGTTGTTCGGATCGGTACAACATATGTGTACTTTTAAATTCGAAATAAGAAAGAGCCTTATCTCCCCCACCTCCCCATTGCACACTTTATGGCGTATGCCCGGCTTTATTATCCCGGTCGATGAGGTTCATTTCTTTAGATGTAGAAAAACAATGACGTACCTCACAAATTTTTGGTTTTGTCTGCAGGCACACCACGGGTGGCGACATTATACTCTGCTATACAATACAGATTTACATGTAATCAACAACAGAGCGTGTTCTGATGATCAGGACACAGCTGCAGTAATATAGGAGCAGAAAGAGGAAGAAATTCCACATAGATAAAATTGCACCAATCACATAATAAATTGAAATCATATTTCGGTGGGGCTGAGTACAAAACAGATAAAAAATTGTTTATCTTAGTAGGCCTAATTTTTTTTCACTTCCTCTTTGATAAAACAACAAAAATGCGGCTAGACAAGCCCCGTCTATGTTTATTTTTAACAAAACAAAAACATTTACTGATTAGTCACAACTGATAGAAGGGACCCTAGTGAAGATATTTGTAGTTTGCCATCTCTGAATACCACGGGCTAACTTCAAGAGAACAGAAAATCAAAGATGGAGGCCAAAATCGATCGTAATCAGTATTAAACTACGGAGTCACATTGACAGCAAGTGGAGAGACCCCCCCCCCCACCCAACCCTCCGAGTCCATTAAAATTCCACAGAATCTGAGAAAGCCCCACCCGAGTCGTTTTCAGTACTTACTGATTTCCTTTCTTCTCCTGGACGACCCTATCTGAAGCACGTGTAGAGGGCTGAATTCGGTGTCTGGATATTCAATCGCCAATGCATTATAAGGACATAAAGCCTGTCATTGGGCGTGGTTTCGATTCCCCGCCTGTACGTGACAATTAGTAGGATTGCCTGTCCATCTTTGTGGGGTTTTCCGGTCCTCCGGGTTTTTTCCCACTGCTAATTAAAGAACCTTACCCGCAAGCTTTTGGATGCTATTGATCCCGGGGCAGTTACCATTTTCAAAAAGCCGGATAGAAATGTGTATTATATTTCTGTTATATGTTCGTGGGAATTTTTCGGGCCATTTTTCTATTGTTTGTAAGGAGTGACTAATTTATCCATTGTAAAGTCACTGCCCAGTTAGAATCACCGATGTGTCGCGCAAAATGCTTATAACTGTTAAAGAGTTCAGGAAAGGCTTGTTAGACAAAATTTAATGGTTTATATACGATTTCCATAATATGGTCTTTTTATCATGCGACTTTATCTCTGACTATACTTTTGCAACACCGAAAGTTACAGGTGCTTCAAGTACAATCAAAATGTCGAAATTGTTTTTCGTAATTGACAACACAATTCTGGAGTAGGGCCTATAAATAAAGACAGGCATACATATATAGTGTGCTATCACAATCGTATCTAAGTTCTTACATACACACGTTGATGAAAGAAATCAAACAGTCTTCACGGGTTTGATAGTAGAGTTAGCAGAGATACTACTGGCTCAACAATTAAACCATAGCTTTACATTGAAGCTAACAGTGGACGGGGATTATGGTATAGTAAAAAGGATGGGGTAGGACAGGCGCGGTTTGTGAATTGTACCGTCTAGAAGAAGTGGATATCGTCGTCATCGCAGATTTAGTTATTACTGCTGAACGAGCAGCGGTGGTTGATTATATTCTGCCGCATTTTTTATAAATAGTTGGTCGGCGATGTATCAAACTGGAATAGACACTGAAGTTAAATGGATAAAGTTTACGTGTATTTAATTATGCTAGGCACTGTTGTTTATGTAACAGTTTTAATTTATATACTGGCCGTATATTCTAATGTGCCACCTAGTGATGGAAGAATGAGAGACCCTTTAAACACACAAGACCTAGTACACATTGGCGTGCAACGGGGGGCAGTAGTAAAAAAAACATCATACGTCAAGTCGAAAAATATGCACTGGACCTGGGTAGACCACCCACCCATAAAAATCTTGCGTAAAAAAATATGCACCATCATTTTTAAGAAAGACCACCCTAAAATCTTGCGCAATAAAATGTGTTCTTCACAGTTGCTTTATTGACCACCCAAAAATCATGCGCAAGAAAATATGTTCCCCACAGTTGCTTATTAGACCACCCTAAAATCTTGTGCAAGAAAATGTGTTTCTTGAAATATCTCATTTTAGACCAAAAGAATGTGCAATACCTAACCATTAAAAGAATGAGCAATAGAACAAATGACAAGACGATATGTTATAAATACAGTATTTATATTGAGTTGATGTTCGACAAAATTCTGAGTCTGAATTATTAGCAAAGATAGTCTAAGACTGCCCATATGCAGAGACAGGCTAAAATATATGAACCTAGGCTTGTACCTATTCATTTATTGTGCTTTCCCATATCCACTCAAATCTACTGATCACAGGTTGACCAATTTTGACCAGAGTGTGAAGAAGTAAAAGATTACCCAAATCTCATCTCGGCATGCTGCGGTGTTGTGGGTAAAAAAGATGTTGACCCTCTCCACGCGACGTGTTTATTCGGACTGGGCTGGCAAACCAAATTGACAGGACAATAGTCGACCAAATCACGGGATAACACTTGAATGAAATGATAAGGCTTTGAAATATTAATGAATATTTATGTAAATAAACATATATACAAGAAACAGGAGTTACAGTACAAACATAAACAAGTTGAGAGTTTTCTTTGTTGACAGTTCTAATTCAATAATTAGAGGTCACGAGTCACGGAATTCACAGTTCACAGAGTTCACGGTTCACAGAGTTCACGATGTCTATGGAGATCCGCCATGTTAGAAAGCATGGGTTTTCATGAAATTAAAGTTCACTTTCCTGGAGGAATTATAATGTTAATCACAGTCCTCACCTTACGATACAAAGTTCACCATTCACTTAAGTATCACAATTGTCCTAAAAGCATAGTTACCCAACACCACCTCCGAGACAGGGAAAAAAACAGTATCGACACGGCATTGTAAATTGTAACATGCTTAAGGGTGAATCTTGCGTTTTGATTGGTGGATTAGACACTGTCGATTGGACAATATATAACACCCCTCTGTTTTAGCAAGGCGAATAACTGCGTATATAAATATTACAGTGTACTTTTTTTTCATTTTGTGCTCAGCCATCGTCCTCAACTAAATCTTTATTGACAAATATCTTCTGCTCAAATGACCATCACACTATTTTCAAACTTCATCCAAACACATCTCTGAAATATATAAAACAGAAGAAAATCAGTCATAAACAGGCATAATAAATTATTCGTAACTAAGCAGTGTGGACAATTTTTTTTTTTTTTTTTTTTTGCACTTTGCAGTGTTTACTTTAAAGTGGACAATTTAAATCAAAGTTTGCCCAAATTCTGAATAACATGATCCGCCTGATAATGAGTCATTAGTCTCAAGAAATTGTTTGAAAATATAGTCACTAGGGGAGGTGAAGTAGCAGCTAATTTGTGTCTAGGATAACGGGAAATTATGCTAAAATTGACAATGACAATGATTGACAACACGTCAGAACGATATATACTCAGCCAAATTAAAAACTTGACACTGATGAATTTCAACAAATTTTGTTTTCTGGTAAGTCAAATAAATTTTAAAGTGTTTCTAACGATAGTAAGTAGTAAGAAGCCTTTAATTTCATAAAATTGTAAAGTCACGTGGATCACGTGACTTTTGAGCATATAAAGATGAAAAACCTGAAAAACACGTGCAAACACAAACTCGTGAGGTCAATCGATGCAAGTTTGCTTAAACTGAACACGCACACGTAACTTGAACTGGAAAAACAAATTAAAATTGTTATTTTCATCTTTGTTAGAAAATGCCGCGCCTTTCAAATGTAGAACGTCTACGTGCTATAGGTAGGCTCTATGCTGGTCAGTCTGTGGTCACTGTTGCAAGAGCCTTTAATTGTTCACGCCAGACAATAATTAATCTTAGAATGAGAGTGCTTCAAACTGGAACTATTGCCGAACGCCCAAGGGCGGGAGCGCCACGTGTGACGTCACTCCAGGAAGATCAAGCAATACGATTACGTCATCTTAGAAACATATTTGTCACTGCAACCTCCACAAGTAGAGAGATGTTTGGTGGAAGGGTAACTGCACAAACTGTTCAAAATCGCTTGCAGGCTGCTGGCCTTCGAGCTCGGAGGCCCTATAATGGACCAATATTGACACCTCTTCATCGCCGTAACCGACTTGTGTGGGACACAAACACATAAGATTTACTCAAAGACAGTGGAATTCGGTTGTCTTTAGTGACGAATCTCGATTCACTTTGAGATTTGCCGATGGCAGGGCCCGAGTGTACCGCAGACGAGGTGAACGTTACGCTCAAGTATGCGTCAGAGAAGTTGACCGATTTGGTGGCGGCAGCGTCATGGTTTGGGGTTCTTTTTGTGCACGTTCTTCTCTTGTTGTTGTCCAAGGGAACTTAAATGCTGTCCAGTACAGGGATCAGATTTTGGAACCTGTTCTTCTTCCGTTTATGCAGAGACATGGGCCTGGACTAACGTTTCAACAAGACAATGCTCGACCCCATACAGCAATTGCTACCCAGAATTTTTTAAGAAATGCCGGTGTCCAAGTCCTGGATTGGCCGTTGCTTAGCCCCGACCTTAATCCTATTGAACACATCTGGGACGAACTGGGCCGACGTGTTCGTCAGCAAGTGAATCCACCACTGACGTTGCAGGACCTTCAACATGCTCTTGCTGAGCAGTGGCGACGTTTTCCTCGGGCAGTGTTTACTAATGTTCTGAGATCCATGAGAAGACGTTGTGTGGCAGTACGAGACGCTAGAGGAGGCCCCAACCGTTACTAGACACTTTATTCCGATTGTTCTCCAAGTCTGTGAATTTAATTTTGGGGGGTACTGTGACATCACGAACGTTATCAATGTCAAGGACTTTCGGCGAGACGTATTCTTGCTTTCTGTTGATGTCAAGGTCGTCTGTGCACAACATACATGTAACACTAAAATAGTTGCCTTAAACCAAATATTAAAAACCTAGTCCCAAAAATCCCGAGTGTCAAGTTTTTAATTTGGCTGAGTAGGCCTATACATGGCGTGCAACCACTTGAATCTTAGGCATCACATAGTTTTATAGGGTATTCTGAGGGGTGTATGCAAGAACTGCTCTTTTCTGAGCAAGAACTAGCATTAAAATGGTGTTGACGGTCTGCAAATAAAGGCTAAAAACTCACCCATGTTAAAGTTATCAAAACTTCGAAAGTGTAGCCATCATTGTTGCCGGTTGTTGCCCATAGTTATCCCTGTGTAGTCTCGGTTAACAGGTCGTAACTAATTCATTCACGACTGGCACTACCGGTCAAAAAGGCCACACTAAGGCTAATTTACTAATCTTTTTAAAAATCTTCAAACGTTAAAAATATTTTATTTGAAATATTCGAATAGCATTTTCTTTCATAATGTATTTACCAGTGACCCAAGACTCAAGCATTTTAATTTTGAATACGGCCTAAAATACGATTTTATTTTGATGGAGTTGTTATTGATATGAACTGAAACACTTCGTATCCCGTTTCATGCAATTTTCTTGCAGGGACCCATTAGACCACCCAATTTTCTTACCCAGAAATGCTTTTTTTTCTTTCAGAACTCTGTTAGACCACCCAATTTTCTTACCCGGAAATGCTTTTTTTCTTTCAGAACTCAGTTAGACCACCCAATTTTCTTAACCGGAAATGCTTTTTTTCTTGCAGAACTCAGTTAGACCACCCAATTTTCTTACACGAAAATGCTTTTTTTTCTTGCAGAACTCAGTTAGACCACCCAATTTTCTTACCCGGAAATGCACTTTTTATTGCGTTTTTTCGGCTGGCAGACCCACCCCACCCCCCAGTTGCTGTTTGCATTTTTTTTTACAGTTGCCCCCTGCGTGCAAGTAAAGGAACCCTTGGCGTTGGAGTTCGAATAAAAAAGAATAGGCCGTAGTTATGCTCTCCGGGCGAAATGTTCCCCGTATCACGTTGCGTAGCATATCCCCGTCTTCAGACATTAGCGCAGTCGGTGCAGAACAGTAGAACGTTAAACCCCATTTCAGTTGATTTAGAAGCAGGATTATCCTGGTGCGTAAGCCAGCGCCACAACCGCCAAACCAACCACCTCCCCACGTACATGTGTCATACGGTCCAGCCAAATTAAAATTGTTACATACATCGATTGTATTACTTTATTTTAGTGAAAATAGAGCAAATCTTATACCCGAAGTACAAAATGGTTACTTGGGGATGTATTGCGGAAGTTGATCTCTAAACTTTGTGGTTTATCAAAATGATGGCAGTAGATACTATCAACAGTATATAACTATATGACGTCATACCCGCTCCTGCAAATATAAAGATGTTATAGCTAAGCGTCACTAGAGAACAGATACTAAGCTGGTTGGCCGACATTTTAATTTATAAATCTGCAATTTAAGTCGCAAACACTAAGTTTATATCGGTCTGTTAGCTTCGTGTCTGCCTACAATTAAGCCTGCTTGAGAACAGACACGAAGCTAATGGGCTAACATTAATGGACGGTGTTAGTTGAAAACACGAGAAGTATAATACTACTCTTAATGCTAAGCGTCACTGGAAAACAGACACTAAGCTGGTTGGCCGACATTTTAATTTCTAAGTCTACAATAAACCCTGCTTGAAAACAGATACGAAGCTAATAATGGACTAACATTAATGGACGGTGTTAGTTGAAAACACGAGAAGTATACTACAATTCTTAATGTTAGATTCCCACTGTCGTGCGATGCGTTATGATCGAGTTGTCCCTATTGAGTCCACGATCTGGTTCGTGCAGATACGTTCGGATACATTTAGATACGATCAACACGAGTGCTATGCCTGACCGCAAAATATGATATGACCTGATAGGATCACAACGATTAAAACCACGATTTAAATCGAAGCACGAATCGTGATAGTGGGAACCTAGTATTAGGTGTATACATAGTTCTTTGTGTGCAGAATGATAGCTAAACGTAGACCAACCCAATTGGAGTAAGATGTTCACTCTTATCATTATAAAGGGGAACGAAATACGGTTGATTAGACAGGCCGCAAACTGGACGAATAGGGCTTTTCAAACGTAAAGCTCATGCCACTGGTTGAAATTTGGCCTGGCTGCTAGCTCGTACACCAGAGAAGAAAATAGGCACCGTTATACGCAAACCACTAGAAAAGTCCGTACCAGACCAGCTTGGAAAATGCAAAATTAAGATCAAGGGAAGAATTTAATGTCAGTTAGATCTAAATATTAAGGTCCTTACTTTAACCCTACCCCAAAATCCTGAGCAACAATCACATGTACCAGGCCTATTTACATATTTACAAATCATGACCGAAAGTGTTAATACAAACTCTCTTCTTCGATTGTACACCAATTGCTATACTACCTCCATTATTATAGACAATTAAAGATGTCGTATATACCTACCACAGGATATGTTTCTTTTTACTAATTCGCGCTTGTATTTTTTCTCAAATTCACTAGTATAACATCCAGCAGTCTTGGAGCATGTAACATAGGTGTTCAACTCCCTTGAGAAAAGAAATTACAATACATGTGCCAGCTGATTAATATTTTAAAGCGGATGGGTTTGGGTATTTTCAGGAAGCAGTATGGATCGCATGCTCGGTATACCTCATCTTCAATAGAAGGCTTAATCTCGCCTTAACTACGCACATCTTATCAAGCCCTTCACGTAATACCCCGCATATTTTGGCACTATTTTTGATTGGGTATAAGCCCAGCTTGTGAACCTATCAGATTCCTTCGTTAAAAATATCGTTACGATTATCAAGTCTCGCGCTTATAGCTAAAATGTCTACATGTGACAATCGAGTTGCAAAGTTCAAGGTTCGATCAATGTCAAGGTTGCTGGAAATCATACCTGATCAATAATGAGTTTCTATGGAGGCCGCCATATTTGTTTACAGTGTGTTATGTGCGACGACCCCTGATTGGACAATGCTAATTGATCACGTGTAAACACAACGAGCGCAAAATTTCGGACAAAACACAAGCCCCTGTGTACACATTGGCGTGCACGTAAAAGAATCCTTCCCATTTGGAATTCGATGAAGAAATGCCATTCTCCATAGAAAATTCCGTCATATCAGTCTGCGTAGCGTATGCCCATCTTTAATTTTCCGATTAACTGCACGCTGCAAAATCCGGGGAACTTTCTTGACCCACACCAGGATCAGTGTAGATAATCGTAGTATGGAGAGGAATATGGCCGATAACCCGACATCACGACATTTTAACAGCACAATGCATATTTTTAATGTGGGCGTATCTTGCCTGGCAACCGCTGGTTTGTTTTGTAAGTAAAAAACGGTTGATTAAAAGTGCTATTTTTAAAAATGTGCATTAAATAAAACTCAATAAAATCAATTTTTATATATATTTTATCAGAAAGAGTGTTTAAATTAGCTGTCCTCCAAATGTAAATTTAATATTATTAGGTACAAAAAAGCTAGATGGGCTTAAAGGCTTGACAGGCATATCCCTCCATGAATAACAAGTTTGTTTTTTCTGTTATTTTTTTTTTTTTTTTAAAAAAAAAGATATTTTGTCACAAAGAAAATGATATTTTACTGTTTTTTAACTGAAATGATTTCGGCTCATAACAGAAATAAAATGAGGTTTAACGTCCTACTGTTCTGCCCTTACTGGGAAAATGAAGACTGCGGACAGAGGCGCTACAGCCTCTCTTATATCGAATTTCAACTTCCTCAGAGACGCTAATGTGTACACGGGACCTTGGTTTTTCGTCCCACTCGAAAATTTGCCCCTCCGCCCTGCACCACTGACAAGTGGAAACCACACCGGAAAATCCAGATGAACCGTCTCAGCCAACACCGGGAGCGAACGCTCGACCTATAGGCTAGACAAATCCAAACATAAAAATGTTTAAGAATGAATAAAGAAGTTATTTTTATGTGTCTGGTTCTTTTTTGTTGATATTTTTTGTGATGCATATTGTTCTAACAAGGAAAGTGTGGTCTACTCGTTCCCTAAATGACCTAGTTTGTGTCGAGTGGACTTTACCCCCCCCCCCCCCTCTACCTCTTGCTTGTCCATAGAGGAAGGAAAGTGACTGACCTCAACTGATCACGAATGGCAACGATAACCTCTGGAGTTTGGGATGTAAGGGATTGACCGCATCTGATCATGGTTGGCAACGATAACCTTTGGGGTTTCGGATGTATGTGTATGAGTTTTGGGATATTTGTGCTTGACCTCAACTGATCATGGATGGCAACGATAACCTCGGGATATATGTGATTGATCATCGATGGCAACGTTCTGAAATCAAGAATCTATGTTTACAAATATAAATCAAATGTAAAATCAGTTCATTCTTCAACGAAGTAAACGATAATGTACTAAAATACGATTATCGGAGGAAATGAAGTGAAATAGGGTTTAACGTCCCATTGTTCTGCTCCGACTGGGTTAATGAAAACGAGTATACGCCATACAGTGTACTATGGGGGACATTTTGCCCGGACAGCGGCACTCGAATTTCAACTGTCAAAGGATCTTTTACGTGCATCACTTGAACACCGATCTGTAATTACATAAATATATAATTATCCTGTTCTAGATTATACTAAACATTTAACGTAACGCCTGTAAGATATACATGTATAAAATAATCTGCACACTTCACACTGCCCAACGTCACGTTGCTGATCATGTCAAGGGTTCCTTTACGTGCACGCCAATGTGTACATGGGACACCGGTTGTTCAACCATACTAGCCTCTAGGCACTTGTCATGACATTTGTCCTACACCGCTGGCACTTCACCCTCTGTACTCACATAAAGAATACAACACAACCATCCAAACAACTTACGAGCATATTTTGTCCATCTTATATTCTTTATTGCCAGAACCAAAGCCTATATCAATCAAATTCGCTAAGTACTTTCTACCACATTCCCCAACTTTAGATTGATTACATACTGCTTCTGCCATATACATACTCGTAATCAAACCTATAATAAGATTTATTATTTATGAAATGGGGTTTAAAGCGATAATTTCATATTTTTAAGTTATATTTTTAAAATATATTAAAATAAAGCCTTAAAATAGATGGTATCTATAAGCAGTCCTACCTTGTTAAAGAATAATCATATTATTCCTATAATTCACTATTGCCAGTTGAGAAATTGGCAAAAATATATTTTTCAACTTCAAATTCAAACGTTTGAAGATAGCTTTTCCATGGGGGAAAATGGAAAAACAAGGGAGGTAATTGTGTTATTAATCCCAGGGTAAATGATTTTGAGTGTGAGAATGACACCTATGAATATGATCGTATAATAGTGAGTTGACAACCCATTGAGCAAAAGACATAGAAATAATTGTGTTTTGACTTTCTTAGAAAATATGAAATTCTCGCTTTAACACTCTGCTGTTCTGGGCTAATGAAGACGAGTGTACTATGCGGGAAATTATGCCTTGACATCGGCGCTACGGTCTATTCTTATATCGAATTCCAACTACCAAGGTTTTTTTATGTGCCCACCTTTGTGTACCCGAGACCTGGTGATATTGTAACACTAGTTATTACAAATATGGCCCCCCACTGTGATAGTAATTTTGCTGGATAAACCCACTTTATATAGAGTAAATTCAAGACTAAAAATGTACCCCAAACTACATGAGAGCATTAAGTTAAAACTTCTTTAATTGTCCCCGAGCCTAATATGCTAGTACACACCTTCTCTGCTAATCTCTTTTGTGTCCATTACTGTAATTATAAATGCTAGTAAAAGGTAGGTGGTGAGATTAAATATAATTTAAAAAATAAGGATAGAAAGGCGGAGTTTCTAGAACTGAGATAAGAAATAATTTTAAACGCTAGAAAGGTGGAGTTACTATTAGAAGTGAAAATAGAAACCATTTATCAAAGTTGGAGATGGTGTTATGTTGTGACAAGACTGGTGTCTAAAAGAAGAAGAAGATGATGAAGATGAAGACTGAAGAGAGAGAGAGAGGGAGGAGTTTAACACAAAACAGTATGGTTAATAAGGATGTCCCGGGATCGCTCCCGGTGTTGGCCCATACAGACCCTCATGATTTTACGGCGCGGTTCCCCTTGACAGTAGTGTCTAGTCGTGGACTAGGAAGAAAACACATTGGAGTGCACTTAAAATAAAATTCGAAATAAGAGCAGGCCATAGCGCCGCTCAACGGGCAAAATGCCCGTCATAGCCCACTCGCCCGTCATAGCCCACTGTATGGCGTATGTCCTGCTTCATTAGCCCAGTCGGAGCTGAACAGTAAGACGTTTAACCCCATTTCATTTCATTTCATTTCATTTCATTTGGTTTTCTTATAATAGGAAAATAAACATACCATTATACTTACAAATGGAGAAAGGTAATAGACGCTGAATCCTCATTTTCTTGTGTAGGTTTGTAGTCTAATAAGTTACTCTTTCGATCTTATAGAAAAGTGTCTGATTCACGAAACAGTGAGCTAATAAATGGTGACTTTGCCCCCCACCTTTTGCTCTATATCCTGTTGATTCAACTATGGAAGCCGATAAGTACCCCATTGCGCCCCCTTGCCTTCTCGTTAAGAAATGAAATGAAATCAACAAGGCGAAGCTAAGAAGTGACTCGGCATTTGGGCTTCGCACTGCTTAATTGCTGACTTCGCGCTGCTACTAGTAGCGACGAGAAGGCAAGACAGAGCGAGATTTCAACCATTCGCACCTCGTTGATGCGAAAGTAAGAAGGGGTGAGCGTGTACTTCTCGACTTCCATACTCAACCGATTTGTTTACTTAAAACACATTTATTTAAATCTCGTAGATATCATTTTATATCGTACACGTCATTTTACCTGGAAATTATGCAATGTGTTTTACCTAAAGGCCCTATGCGTCATTTGCATTTTCTCTAAAATATCAATTTTCTCACGTCACTCAATTAATCAAGAAATAAAATCAAAATATCAACGTTAAATAACCCTGGATTTAATCCGATTTAAAATATGTCCATCGGATTTATCTGCCACCAATAAAGGGGTATTGTGGATGATTAGATAAAGAGCAAACAGTTCTTGCTATAATAGTTAAAAATTAAATAACTTAAAGAGAATATGCCGAAAATTTCAGTCAAATTGCTTCACCCTGAGCCGAGAAAACCGAATTTAAATAAAACACTGTAACCTCATTGTAACGGTCATTGTTTATACCGTTTTTACGATAATAAACAAAGTCTCGATTATCGATTTCAACTCGGTTTAATATCGTACCCATCAGATGACACAGAGAGTTGATTAACATTTAAAACCTCAAGAAAGACCTGCAGTAGGCAGATTTATATCTTGCATAATCTACGTTTAATAGCGAATAGCATACATCGATGGAATTTCAATTGATCATAACTTTGTAAATGCTGAATGTTGGATTGATATTTCTATTAGAGATTAAATTGTCACAATGTTTATAGCGCTATATCTAGCCTTTAAAGTTTAATATATACAGTGTATATAGACATAAGATTTAATATAATATAAACATAACGATATAGTTCATAGAGGGATATAGAGGGAGCGCGGTATAGCGCGGGATTGCGGTTGCAAAACCATTGGACTATTGAAGTGCCTAAACCATGCAGTGGCGGCGCCAAGGGGGGGGGGGCAATCTGGTCTGCCCTCTGTTTGCCCCCCCCCCCACAATAATTTTAGAAAATAAAAAAAAGTATTTGTGATACGTTTCGGTAATCAATACCTTCTACGGTGAATAAATCCCACATCCCCACTCAGTCATAAACTTGCATGTTGTAGAGCATTTCCTATAGTCTATTTTTCAAAATTTTCTTGGCGAGGTCCCCAATGGACTCGCTACTTTGGCGCCCACAAGGGGAATTCGTTTGACATTTTGTTCTCTAGTCGGATAAACTAGTGATCAGGCGACGAACGGTATCTGGGCAGAACAAATTATCTCGACGATCGGTGCCTGACAGAATACTGTAAGACAGCATTTCCGGAAGTCTATTTTTCAAAATTTTCTGGGGGAGGACTCCCTACTTTGAGGCTTCGTTTGACACGTTTGGGCTTCGTCCGTTCGATTGACACTTTACCTCATCGATCAGTGCCTGAAATACTGCCAGGCTGCATTTCCGGCAACCTGTTTTTCAAAATTGTCTGGGGGATGCCCCCTACCCCTAGTTGAAGCTCGTGCCTTTGCCGCCTTAACCTTGGACTTTGCCCCAGCTTTGCCCCTCCAATCACCGACGGCTGGCGCCGCCACTGAAACCATGGAATACACGATTGACTGCAAGTGGAACACATTGAAGTTGCGATTTTCACATATAGTCTACGAATATTAGTCTAGATGCGTTGTCATTGTTAACATTTGTGAATAATAGGTCATTGGCTAGATTATCCGGCCTTTTACATTATCATTAACAGCGTCTAAAGGAGGTAACTCCTTCTAAAACAAGATGATGACGCCCATGAAATTAATTTAAGAATGCCATTTCAAATAATCCATTTGATTGCATGCAAGTTCAATATCCAACACTCTATGGGCCATATCTATGTTTTTTTTAAAAAAAAATTAATCCTAATTCGTCGTCACGATTCATGTTTTTTTTATATTAATGCAAGAATTATGGGATTTATTGCGGGAAGGGGCGCAACTCTTACTTGACTTGGACAAAGATATTGGATAATCAACCAAAATAAAAACCAAACCCCCGGTTACGCATGGGCAATGGACTACACGTCAAATATTGACAACGGCCCCAGGCCCTCCATACGTTGAAAACTAGGCGGTTCTGGGTGACCGAGACTAGGAAAATTTCGGTTCTTGCCCCTAACATTCATCGAGCCCGTACGCCTATCGTTGTATCCCCCTGGTACTCAAGTATAAGATCTAATACTGAGAAATGTGAGAAAGGAAGACATTTTGAATAGACGAAACAAACATTTTATTACACACCCAATTTTTCACGTTGACGTGTTATGCGGTCGCCCCTGTCCGTCTGTACGTTGACGCGACCGGTCATACTTGTTTGTGGCCATTTTGATATTAGCACTTATTAGTTTATAACACTTCAAAGTCTTTGGAAATTAATAAATCAAAATTTTATTACACACCCAAATTTTCAAGTTGACATGTTATACGGTCGCCCCTGTCGTCTGTACGTCAGTGCGGCGGTGCGACCGGTCATACTTGTTCCATACTGGCGAATAACGATTTTGATGAAACTTACAATAATATATGTTTCTATTCCAAGGATCTCGGATAGGTTCGGTTTTATCACGTATCGGACCGTGACATCATGGATTATTCTCCCTTGAATGTACGAAAAGAACGCGCGGAACCTCTAAAAGTAACAATTTTGCCACGATTTTGATGAAACTTAGAATATATATTTGTATTTGTAACAATTTTGGATGAATTCGATTTTGTGGCAATCGCACTGTCATTGTCAATTCCCTTGCTTCCTCATTTACACAGATAGTGACAAAGCCTGTAATACATATACCAAGGTCGTAGACCCGCCGATTCAGATGCAACTTTGAATATGTGTCAAGAATCATCAGATCTTGGATAAGTTTAATAAAATATCTACAGAGTTTGTAAACCGTTTAAAGACTCTATTTGTTTTGCTATTCAGATAAAACTTAAAATATGTTAAGGGTCTAATGGGATGAATTGGGATCATGAGCTGCATGAAACCTACCGATTTTCACACTTCGCTATTGGTCATGGATTAACTGTATACATGATCGGTATATCGATGACTCTCTGTGTTCTGGATGTGCCCTCCCTTCCCCACCCCAGCCGGATGTGCCAACAGGTTGGACGTTAAGTACCATTTCATTTATTAGCTGATTGACTGGGGTCGCTCAAAAATGACTCAACTTAGTACAACTACGGATTCAAATCGTCAATACTTTCAGCCACTATTTTAAAACTTCACTGTATGACAAGGACTAAAGTTAGGTTCACACCAACGGCGCTTTGGTGGCGCTTTAGAGCGGCGTGCAAAACGGCACCAAAGCGTAACAAAGCTCGACTAAAGCGTCAGGGTCGTAATAGATCGTTGGAAAGCTTTGAGCAAAGCGGGACATTCGGCAAGAGCGCCAACAAATTTGAAGACTGTTTCAAAATTTTTGGCGCTCTGTCACGAATTAATTAAAGCGCCGAGAGCGTATCAAAGCTTAACAAGGCGTGACAAAGTTCAGCAAAGCTTGACCCAAAGCGTAGGAAAGCTTAACAGAGCTTTGTTCAAAGCGGGGACCCCAGTCTTCACGGTCTGTCACCACTTGACACGCTTTGTTAAGATGTCTCAAGATTTGCTACGATCTGGCATGAAGATCTGACACGCTTTGTTACGCTTTCCCACAAATTGAGACGCTTTGATCAAGGATTGACACGCTTTGCTAGGCTTTGTTACGCTTGGCAAGCTTCCTCACGCTCTCTCACGCTCTCCTACGATACTCAAGCTCTGTGTCCAGCGCTGCGACTTGAGTACCACTCATTGCATTGTTTCAGAAAAAGTATCCGGAACCTGAAAAACAACACAAAGATGGGACCCAAGAGAGGTAGTGGTGCAGCAAAGATGAATAATAACATAAATAATAATCATAGCATCCTCCAAAGTGCATATAATAACATAATAATTTCAAATTTTACATGTCAATATTACAAAATAATGTTCATAACACACTAGTCTTCATCCTCAGTCTTGCGGGCTCTCTCTCTGTCTGTCTCTCTCTCTCTCTTCAGTCTTCATCTTCATCAGCCTCGGACCCACTCCTCTCTTCAACTGTACCAGGAAGTACAACACCAGCCATTTTTTGCTGCCAGTCAACAGCACCCACTTGGGGAGAAAGTAGTCTTTGAGATGTTCTCTCTGACGTCTGGCATCCACAGTGGCGCGGCCCCTTACAGGTGGCAGTGGAACATCTTCCACGTGAGGTTCATATCTCCAGGCCCCTGGTATGATATTGTGCTCTTCATCCTCATGATCCACCTCATTGGCTGCCATCACCACCCTCTGCCCCAGCAGGTTGTGCAGCACCACAGCAGTTTCCACCAAATGTCTGACGGTCTCTACCTTCTGTTCCAGTGTTTCCAGCAGGCACCTGAACCTGTTTGCCAGGATGCCAAAGGCATTCTCCACCACTCTTCTACCCCTTGAGATCCTGTAGTTGTAGATTCTCTGCTTATCTGTCACCCCTCTTCTACTGTATGACTTCATCATGTAGCTCTTCAGGGCAAAAGCATCATCAACCAGGATAAAGTATGGAATATCTGGCTTAGTTTCCCCAGGGAGAGGGCATGATGGGGGCAGCCCTATGGACCCATCTGCTAGGCTTTCAAAGAGCTCAGAGTCTATGAATATCTGGGAGTCAGACATGTGTCCTTTACCTCCCAGCTCAATCCAGATGAACTTGTACTGTGCATCTACCAAGGCCAGCATTGGTATGGAGAAGAAC